GTTCGGCTCCAAGGCGGCCCAAGAGGTCCCAAAAGGCGTCCAAGAGGGCCCCAAAACGGCCTAAGAGCGCAACAAGACGGCCCAAGAGGCGCCCACGACGGCCCAAGAGGGCCCCAAGACGGCCCCCAAAGGGGCCCTGTCAGAGGGAGCACGAACTAGAAATCCGAGCCTTCCGCCAGGCGCTCCTCGACCTCCTCCTGCCCCAACTCTCCGTCCTCCTCCTCCTCCTCCTGCCCCTCCTCCTCCTCCTCCTCCTCCTCCTCCTCCTCCTCCTCCTCCTCCTCCTCCTCCCCCTCCCCCTCCTGCTCAACCGCGTCCTCTTCCTCCTCCTCTTCCTCCTCCTCACCCTTTCACTCCTCCTCATCCCCCTCCTTCGCATCCTCCTCCTTATCATCCTCATCCTCTTGATCGTCCCCTCGTAATGCCCCCCCTCCCCCACGTGCTCTTCCCCCCGTGCTCCGCAACCTTACCTGGATCTCTTCATCCCCATCCGACTCCTCCTCCTCCTCCGCCTCCTCCTCCTGCCCTCCTCCTCCTCCCCCTCCTCCGCATCCTCCTTCTTATCCTGCTCCTCAGACTGCCATTATCCTCGTAATCCTACCGTTCATTCCCGCCCGCTCTCCTCCTCCTCCTCCTATTCCTCCTCTCCTCCTCCTCCTCCTCCTCCTTCTCCTCCCCCTCCTCCTCCTCCTCCTCCTCCTCCTCCTCCTCCTCCTCCTCCTCCTCCTCCTCCTCTACCTCCCTCCTCCTCCCCTCCTCCTCGCTCCTCCTCCTCCTCCTCTTCCACTCTCCTCCTTCTCCTTCTCTACCTCCTCTTCCTCCTTCTCTTCCTCCTCCTCCTCCTCCTCCTCCTCCTCCTTTTCCTCCTCCTCGTCCTCCCCCTCCTCCTCCTCCTCCTGCTTCCTCCTCCTTCTCCCCCGCTTCCTCATCCACCTCCTGCTCGGCCTCCTCCTCCTCCTCCTCCTCCTCCTCCTCCTCCTCCTCCTCCTCCTCCTCCTCCCTCCTCCCTCCTCCCTCCTCCCTCCTTCCTCCTCCTCGTCCTCCTCGTCCTCCTCGTCCTCCTCGTCCTCCTCGTCCTCCTCGTCCTCCTCATCCTCGCTCCACTCCTCCTCCTCCTCCTCCTCATCCTCTTCCTTCCTCCTCACCTGCCCCCTCCTCCTCCTCCTCCCCTCCTGCTCCACCGAGTTCCTCTTCCTCCTCCTCCTTTTCCCCTCCTCCTCCTCCTCCTCCTCCGCCTCCTCCTCCTCCTCCTCCTCCTCCTACTCCTCCTCCTCCTCTCGTCCTTCCTCCTCCTCCCCTCCTCCTCTCCTCCTCATCCTCACCCTTTTCACTCCTCCTCATCACCCCTTGCCTTCGTCACCTCCTCCTCTTCATCTCATCCTCTTGATCTTCCTCCTCATCATGCCCCCCCCCCCCGCCGTGTTCGTCCTCCGGTGCCGAGCTGCACTTACCTGGACCTTTTCATCCCCATCTGACTCCTCCTCCTCCTCCTCCTCCTGTTCCTCCTCCTCCTCCTGCCCCTCCTCCTCCCCCTCCTCCGCGTCCTCCTTCTTATCCTTCTCCTCAGACTCTCATTATCCTCGTCATCCTACTGCTCATTCCCGCCCATCCTCCCTCCTCCTTTTCCTCCTCCTCCTCCCCCTCCTCCTCCTCGTCTTCCTCCTCCTCCTCCTCCATCTCCTCCTCCTCCTCCTCCTCGTCCTCCTCGTCCTCCACCTCCTCCCTCTCTACCTCCTCATCCTCCTCCTCCTCAACCTTCTCCTCTAACTCCTCCTCCTTCTCCTCCTCCTTCTCATCCTCCTCCTCCAACTCCTGCAACTCCTCCTCCTCTTCCTCCTCCTCCTCCTCCTCCCCCTCTTCCTTCTCCTCTTCCTCCTCCTTCTCCTCCTCCTCCTCCTCCTCCGTCTCCTCCTCCTCTTGCTGCTCCATCACATCTTCCGCCTGCTCCTCCTCCTCCTGCTCATCCTACGTCTGCTCCTCCTCCTCCTCCTCCTCCTCATCCTCCTCCTCCTCCTCCTTCTCGTCGTCGTCGTCGTCGTCGTCAGGGTCGGCGGCACCGGCCGAAAGGCCTTCACAATCAAGAATCTCTGAGATCCGACGACTCTGGAGGATGTATCGGGCGTCGCAGCCATCTCGGGGCGAGCGTTCTGGAACGGAGACGGACCGATCTGTAAGGTTTCCAGGGCCAGCAGCCAGGCAAAACACGCACGATTGCAGAATCGCTGGGAAAAACTACCAAAACTTAGACCCGATCTCTCTGCGGCACGTTTCGAGCCGGACCGAACTGCGAGGGTCCTGGGGTCGGCGGGCGAGTGCGAAAAAGTGCAGCATCGCGAGAAAGCACGACCAGAGCTCCGGGATCTTTCTGCGGCACGTTTTGAGCCAGACTTATGTCGGGCGTGTCCCCCTGTAGGGGGACACGAACAATACGATTTTTTGATTATTTTTTGGGTATTTGTTTTTGGTCGAAAATCCCCCTGTAGGGGGACAGGCCCGATTTAAAGCCAGACCGAGCTGTCCCCGTTCCCCCGAGCCCGGCGCCGGGCGACGACGACCAGTGCGACGAGCACGCAACGCTCAACTCTCAAGGTTCCACGCTCGCCGCCGCCGCCGCCACCGCGGGCCACCCCTTTGAGCAGGGACCGACCGTGCAGGGCACTCCTTCAGGCCTACCACGCAACCTTCTCAGAACCACAGGTTGCTCTCATCCGCCACCGTGCCTTCCGCTCGTAGTGGGGCGCCCCAAGGCTCACGCAGCCCTGCGAGGTAGAGAGGGCTCATGGCTCATGGTCCGCCAGGGTTCGAACGGGCCCGGACCCCGTTTCCCAGGCGGTCCAGGGCGGTCGTGCGCCCTGACAGGGTGTGTCGCCTGAGCTTTTGGGGCGCAAAGAGAACCCCAAGGACGGCCGAAAAGGGGGGTCCGGAGTCCTCGAACGATCGTTCCAAGACGCCCAAGATGACCGCCAGACAGCCGAAGAGGCCCCCAAGACGCCCCCCAAGAGGCCTCCCAAAGGGCAGACAAAAGTGATTTTTTTTTTGGGGGGGGGGGGACAATTTTGGCATTCTCGCCTTTTCGGCTTCCCGACTCGCCAGGACGGCCCAAGAGGCCCCAAGAGGCGTCCAAAAGGGTCCCCAAACTGCCCAAGATGGTCAAGAGGCCAACCAAGAGGCCTTTCCGAAGCCCTGGAGGCCGCCGAGAAGCCCCAACACTGCCCCCAAGAAACCCCCGAGAGCGCTCCCAAGAGACACCAAAACGCATCCCTGAGGACTCTGACCCGCAATCCAGGCACGCTGGCGGGATAGGCAGAAAGGTCATCAGTCCGCCGCCCCCTGTTGATTCATCACAGGTGTGCCCGGCGTGCTAGACTCTTTCGCTTTTGGTTTGGGATCTTTTCCGAAAGAACTCCCCCTGGGGTTTCGGCCCGTCCCGCCGCAGTTGCGTAGCAGGTGGTTTCAAGGTTTTTTCGGCTCCAGACGGCTCCAAGATGACCTCCAAGATGGTCAAAATGGCTCAAGATGGCCTCCAAGTTCGTCCAAGATGGCCTCGAAGACGGCCCAAGAGAGTCCGAGATGCCTCCAAGTTCAAACAAGAACCACCTAAGACGGCCCAAGACGGCGCAGGAGGCCTCCGAGAGGCCTCCAAGACGGCCGAAGAGGCCTCGAAGAGTTCCTCCAGGACGTCCCGAAGAGGTCAACATATGTGTTGTTCCTTGGGCTTTTGAAGGATTATGGCTTTGCTTCTTTTCGGCCTTCCGACGGCCCAAGACGGCCCAAGAGCTCATCAAGGTCGCCCAAGAGTGCCCAAGAAGACTCCAAGATGGCCCCAGGACGATCCAAGAGGCCCCCAAGATGGCTCAAAGAGGGCGCCAAGACGGCTCCAGAGGGCTCCACGACGCCCCAAATCGGTCTCGAAGACGGCCAAGATGGCCTCCACGATGCTTCCATCACGGTCAAGATGAGCTTCAAGACGGCCAAGATGGCCGCTAAGACGGCCAAGATGGCCCAAGATGGGCCCGAGAGGTTCCAAGATTGCCCCAGAGGAGTCCAAGCGGTGCTCCAGGAAGGCCCGAGGGAGCCAAAATCTTGAAGTTTCCTTTGGTGTTCGAAAGATGTTTGTTTTTCCTTGGTTTTGGTGTTCCGACCGCCTAAGACGATCCAAGGAGTCCCCAAACTAGTCCCAGAGGCCTCACAGATGGCTCCAGAACGGCCCAAGAGGCCTTCAAGCCATCCCCAAGAGGACTCCAAGGCGGCCCAAGAGGTCTCAAAAACGGCAAAGATGGTCTCCAAGATACCTCAAGACTGCCAAGATGACCTCCAAGACGACCAAGCTGGCATCCAAGACGGCAGAAATATCCCCAACAGAGCCGAAGGTGCCCAAGACGCCCCCAAGACGCCCAAGATGGCTTCCAAGATGCCTCCAACACGGCGAAGATGGCCCCAAGATGCACCCAAGACGGCCCCAGACGGCCCCAGATGGCCTGAAGACGGCCCCAGATGGCCCCAAGATGCACCCAAGACGCCCCCAAGATGCACCCAAGATGGCCTGAAGATGGCCTTAGACTGCCCAGAAGGCCCGCCAGAGGCCTCCAAGACGGCCCAAGGCCCCTCCAAGACGTCCTCCAGGAGGCCCGAAAGCTCGGAAACCACCTGGTCCGATAGCTCGCCCGACTCCGTGTTCCCCGACAGCTTTCGAAACCAACTTGGGAAACGCGTGGCCCGATAGCTTGGCCAAGCTCAAGCCCAACTTTCGGCCACGCAGGCGCTTCCAAAAAGGCGAGGGCCGGCGGTGATTCGCCGTAGGAGTCGTCGATAACAAAAACAAAACAATGTTCGTACAACACAAAGCCGGTTGAATGAACTACAACTGTATCAGCCAGCAGGGATTCAAGAGAATTGCGTGCAAATCAAGAAAGGTCATTACAACGTTACTTGGTGGGCCTAAAGGCAGGTCAGGACGCGGTACCATTGCGTGAATCACCCCGTCGCCGCGCGCGTGGGTCCTTCCGCTGGCCCTGGCTCGGGCAGGCCACGCGCAGCGTCGCCGCGGCGCCCCGGCGGGGTGGCGAGGTGCTGGAGGAGGACTTGTGCCAGCCGCTGGCGGACGGCGGGGCGGGGGCTGGGGCCTCCTCCCGCCTCCGTCCTTCGCCCTCCTCTCGCCATGGCAAAACCATGGTCGAGGAGCTACCAGAAGGGACGCAAAATCCGGGTGGCCCGACCTGGGCCGAAGGAGCGGCCCGAGAACCCGAGCCTCTCCTGAGCCCAAAGTGGCCCTTAGTTCAGCACCATCGCAAGACGAAGCCAGGACTGGAGAGGCCCCAGGACACACAAATAAATACACACAGATAAAAATATGTCAAATATTTTCCTATATTTTCTGGGTTTTTGTCTTTCCCCCCACTTCTCATAGTTTCCCATATTTTCATGGGAATCGACGATTAATTATGTCTGTGTGTTTTTTCCTCTCCTGAAGCACGAGAACACCATCGGGCGACGATACGTCGGGAATCTCTGAGAGCCGGCGGCTCTGGAGGGTGTCTCGGGCGCGGCGGCCCTGTCGAAGCGTCCCAGAACGCTCCGAGGGCGTCGACGACGGCTTCAGCATCGACGGGCCCTTCCTGGCCGAGTCGGCACCGGCGCCCGTGGTGTGGCCTGGCACGACGCCCAAGCACGCCTCGCCCGCGGCGGTGGAGACCCACTCCCAGAAGAAGAAGAAGGACAAGAAGGAGAAGAGGGGCAAGAAGCGCAAGGGGAGGTCTCGCTCGGCCAGGGTTGTCGACTGAGCAGGGCCTCCTACTATGACTTGGACCCCAAGGGGGAGGACCGCTTCCACGAGCTCAAGGTGGAGAGCGGCGACGAGCTCCTGGACTGGTACGCCGACGTGGGGATCGGGGGTAAGCAGTTCGCATCTTCGGCAGCTGGGTTCATGGACGGCATGGGCGCCATGGGACCAGAGCTCGCGGAGGTGCCGCCTTTCCCGTCCCTCGGCGTGCTGGACAACTTCAAGGTGGACGTCGACAGTCGCAGGCTGGTGGCAAGCCAGATGGACTACGAGGGCGTCACGGACAACTTCAAGGTGGTGGACGTCGAGAGTAGCGTGCTGGTGGCAAGCCAGACGGACATCGACGACGTCACGGGCAACTTCAAGGTGGACGCCGAGAGTCGGTCGCTGGTGTCAAGCGTGGACCTCGACGGAGCGCGCGAGCAAGGTGGAGGAATACGGACGCCGGGGGTGGGAAGACGGCCGTCCCCTCGATCTTCCCACCTGCGGCGCGGCGTGGTCTTCCAGAGTGGGTTCGCCAGCTCAACGAGGACCTTTTCAAGAAGCAGGAGCAGGTGGAGGCCGCCCGCCGCCTCGGCTCCGACGTGGTCACGGCTGTGCTCCCCGCGAAGGGCCAGGTCGTGAAGTTCGAGGGTGGCGAGATCAGCGGCGAGGTGGAGGTCGGTCGCAAGTCGCGGAAGGAGCAGGTCCTGGAGGTCATCATGGGCCTGATCCTGCACTTCAAGGATGAGGACCTCCACTACACGGGCGAGCTTATCGAGCTCTACGACGGGCTGATGCTCGACGTCGAGGGCTCCCAGCGGGGCCAGGAGGCCTGAGGAGGCACGGGAGGGGTCTGCGGCCTCGGCAGGGTTGGGGGCCCCGTCGTGTCGTGGTTGCTCTCTTGGGCTCCTGTGGGCTCTGGGTCCTGGCTGGGCCCGTGGGGGGGTTTCCTGGGTGGGGCCCCCGACCGCTGCCGTCTGGTCGTGGACCCTCTCCGTCGGCGGCGGCGGCGTGCGGCGCCGCGAGGGGCGGCGGCCGCCGTGGGATCGCTCGGACTAATCGGGCCTCAGTGGCCTGAGCGGGTTCCTTCGGGAGCCCGAGGTAGTCTCCAGTCTCCAGCCTCCTCCTCCTCCTCCTCCTCCTTCATCTTTGCCCCAGCCCCGTCCGCCTTCGCCCCGCGCCATCCCCCAACCTCCTCTCGCTGTGGACAAACATAACGGCGCAGGGTTTTGGGCCGCTTGCCCGACGAGGCCCCCAGTGGGCGCCCGAAAAGCCCCCAAGGGGATCCCAGGAGGCCCCAAGAAAGACCCGCGAGCATTCCCAAGACGACCCGATATGGGAAAACAGATGAGTGTCATTAAGTGTTGAACGTTTCTTGCCGCCACCGCCGCAGCGGCCGTCGTCGTCGTCGTTGTCGTCGTCGTCGTCGTCCTTAGGGTCGCTGGCACCAGCCAGAAGGCTTCCGCAGAACAGCAAATTAGGAAATGACCCCTGGAGGCGGGACATGTCCCCGCGGCCTCAGAGGAGGAAGGAACAAGAACGACAATATGGCGCGACGACCGCGTGGAGGCAGGTGGAAAGGTGGTGGACGGGCGCGGTACAGTGAAAACGTATAATAAGGACGCGTGGTAAGGACGCAAGACCCTTGGAGGTCGAAGCTGGAGTATTCTGGCCTGCGAAAATTGCTAGGGACGGGCCACAGAGGCTGAGGCAGGCAAGGACCCAAGGGTACCCTTGAAAAAGTCGTTTGTCCTTACCATGCGCGTTGACTGTAATTCTCTTGGGGGGAAGGCCTGAGCGTAGGCCCCACCCTCCAGAGGGATCCTCCTCCTCCTCCTCCTCCGCCTCCTCCCCCCGAGGCCCAAGAGGCGCCCCGTAGGCCCCACGCAATATCTGTGACGAGCGGGCGTTGGCGATGCTCTCTGTGCCGTTGCGGAACCAGCTCTCGCAAGAAGCTTGATACTTCCGATATGCATCCCACTGCTCTGGACATTGCAAGCACCTTTTGGAACCAGTCAGAGATCCCAGAAAAGGACACACAGGTCTATGCATGAGCACGTCGAGCAACCCACAAGCATCTTGACTAGCCAGAAGCGCGGTTCATACGCAGAGGGAACGGGTAGAGGCCCACACAGTTTCTGCAAGCGTCGAAGTCCCCGCCAAGGGGCTGCCACCCAGCTAGCAAGAGCTCACCCATTGCGCTCAAGACTCCTACTAAGATTAGGTCGAGCCTGTCGCCCTACAGGGGGATTTTGGACGAACATTAAAAAATTACCTAAAACATGCGCAACAGATGCCAACACATGCTAAAAAATGGTTCCCCCAGACTATGTTTTGACTACTGTTGAATATTCCTCCTGTAGAGGGACAGGCCCGCCTTAATGCTAGGGGACATAAGGATCTCGCCGAGACGGAGGAACAGCTCGATCGTGACTTCTCTGCTGGCCAGTGGTAGACAAACTGCTCAATTCTAAGCGCTTGGGTTAGCTCGGGCCTGTCCCCCTACAAGGGGATTTTGGACGAAACATAAGAAATACGCAACAAATTCTCAAAATATGCCTAAACATACGCGAAAAGTAGTCCCCAGGCTATTTTTTCTATTTTTAAGTATTCCCCCTGCAGAGGGACAGGCCCGACTTAACGCTTGGGCCACACGGTGCAGGGCCATGGTACGGTTCCACGCGCGCGCCTCCCTTGAATCTGACCGCCACTTGGGAAACCAAGAGGTGCCGATACCGCTACGGTGCTTGCCCGACCACAAGAAACCTTCCACAAGAAACCCAACCCTGAGGCCCCTGGACGCCCGTTGATGTTTGGTGTGGGGGCATCACGCCTTCCATCGCAAAACCGTCGAAACCGAAGAAACCCAGGGCACCCTGGAGGCAAGCAGGATGTTCCTTGGCATGGGCCTCCCCTCGACCCCTCGGACATGGCCCCCACAGGAGCCGACGCGAGGTGGCGGCCAGGTCGGCACCCAGGTGGCCTATATGCAGGCCGCTGGCGTGGCGCGCCGCGTGGAGGGGAGGGCGCTCGGGCGCGACATTGCGCAGGCAGCTCAAGGCGCCGATGCCCGGGCAGTGGACCCCGTCTCTTTTGAAGGGGCCCTGGGACACACAAACAAATACACACAAATAACAGGTTGTCCAATACTTTCCTATATTTTCTGGGTTTTTTGTCTTCCCCCCCACTGCCCATATTTTCCTATATTTTCTGGGGAATCGACGATTAATTGTGTCTGTGTGTTTTTGTTCCCTCCTGACAAGGCCTTGGCCGCCGCCTCCCGCCCTTCCCTCAGTCGCTGCCCCCTCGTCACTCTGCCCCCATCCATCCCCCTCCATCCTGCCAGAAGGCATAAAGCGCAGGGGAAAAAAAACAAATCTGAGACTCGCCCATCCACACAACTTAAGACTTACCCCCCCACACGCGCGCGACGAGAAGCCAGCGCCACCCGAGAACGACGACGAAACATGACGACTGCGACGACGACGACGACGGCGGCGGCGGCGGACGGCGACGGGAGGCGCCCCAGAGATCCGACGTGTTGATTTGTTCCACGCGGGCTCCCCGGAAGTCCCGACCTTTTCCCCGGGGCCAGCTTTTCATATCGTGAGTCGCTTTTGACCGTCTCGGGGCCCAGCGGGGGCCCAGAGAGGGCTCCCGAAGCCGAAAATTGTGAACACACCTTCGAATCGAGTGTTCAACACGACGGCGAAGGCGGAAGTCGGAGAAGGGAAAATTTGAGACAACGGCAGCTCAAGATCAGTCCCCGGACCCCTCCTGGGGTCCAGGCGCGCTGGTTTCCGAGTGGTGTCCAGCCGTGGCGACCAGGGGGCCCTCCGGAGGCCGACTGCCATCCCTGAGGTCGACGATACGAAGCGATAATTATCCCGGCAAAGCAACCTAACAGCGATGTGTAGGAGCATATCTGGAAGCATTCCCCTTAAGATTCGGATGAGAATCCAGTTGTAGAATTCTGCTGTTCTCGCAGTCGTAGTCGCATTCGCGATGACAGTCGCAGTGGCAACGGCAGTCGCAGTCACAGCCTCAGCCTCAGCCTGCCTCAGCCTCAGCCTCAGCCTGCCTCAGCCTCAGCCTGCCTCAGCCTCAGCCTCAGCCTGCTTCAGCCTCAGCCTCAGTCTGCCTTCAGCCTCGGCCTCAGCCTCAGCCTGCCTCAGCCTCAGCCTGCATCAGCCTCAGCCTCAGCCTCAGCCTGCCTCAGCATCAGCCTGCCTCAGCCTCAGCCTCAGCCAGCCTGCCTCTGCCTCAGCCTCAGCCTGCTTCAGCCTCAGCCTCAGTCTGCCTTCAGCCTCGGCCTCAGCCTCAGCCAGCCTCAGCCTCATCAGCCTGCATCAGCCTCAGCCTGCCTCAGCCTCAGCCTGCCTCAGCATCAGCCAGCCTCAGCCTCAGCCTCAGCCTGCCTCTGCCTCAGCCTCAGCCTGCTTCAGCCTCAGCCTCAGTCTGCCTTCAGCCTCGGCCTCAGCCTCAGCCTGCCTCAGCCTCAGCCTGCATCAGCCTCAGCCTCAGCCTCAGCCTGCCTCAGCATCAGCCTGCCTCAGCCTCAGCCTCAGCCTGCCTCAGCCTCCTCAGCCTCAGCCTGCTTCAGCCTCAGCCTCAGTCTGCCTTCAGCCTCGGCCTCAGCCTCAGCTGCCTCAGCCTCAGCCTGCATCAGCCTCAGCCTCAGCCTCAGCCTGCCTCAGCATCAGCCTGCCTCAGCCTCAGCCTCAGCCTCAGCCTCAGCCTGCCTCAGCCTCAGCCTCAGCCTGCTTCAGCCAGCCTCAGTCTGCCTTCAGCCTTGGCCTCAGCCTCAGCCTGCCTCAGCCTCAGCCTGCATCAGCCTCAGCCTCAGCCTCAGCCTGCCTCAGCATCAGCCTGCCTCAGCCTCAGCCTCAGCCTGCCTCAGCCTCAGCCTGCTTCAGCCTCAGCCTCAGTCTGCCTTCAGCCTCGGCCTCAGCCTCAGCCTGCCTCAGCCTCAGCCTGCCTCAGCCTCAGCCTCAGCCTGCCTCAGCATTCAAAATGTGGCCCGGGAATGGAGTTCTGGGAACTCGAAGAACACGAAGTGGCCTACAGTTGGCTCCGGGCATTCAAAATCATGCCCAGGAATGGAGTTCTGGGAACTCGAAGACCACGAAGTGGCCTACAGTTGGCTCCGGGCATTCAAAATGTGGCCCGGGAATGGAGTTCTGGGAACTCGAAGAGCACGAAGTGGCCTACAGTTGGCTCCGGGCATCCAAAATGTGGCCCGGGAATGGAGTTCTGGGAACTCGAAGAGCACGAAGTGGCCTACAGTTGGCTCCGGGCATCCAAAATGTGGCCCGGGAATGGAGTTCTGGGAAGTCGAAGAGCACGAAGTGGCCTACAGTTGGCTCCGGGCATTCAAAATGTGGCCCGGGAATGGAGTTCTGGGAGGTCGAAGAGCACGAAGTGTGTGACTGTTTGCTTAAAACGAGCCCGGCCCTGAGCCCGGCCCTCGCTGTCCGGATGCCGCCCAGACCTCCCTTCTGAGTCATCAGATGCTCTCTTTTGACACCACTAGAAACCTATCAGTCTTCGCTGTTAGGTAAAAATTGCACCGGCGAGGAACAACTCGACCAAAGCCCGATACAGTCAAAAACCCTAATAAGGACGCGCGGTAAGGACGCAAGACCCTTGGAAGCCGAAGTTGGGATTTTTGGGGCGACGGACGACGAAAACCTCAAGGACGCAAGAGCAAGGAAGAGCAAGGACGCAAAGTCGCGCGTCCTTATTAGGATTTTGACTGTAGACCCCATCTTCCTGCTGCATTTTTCAAGCGCTCAAGGCTGAAAACGCCCCGAAGGTAAACTGCGCTTTTTACACATATGCGATGGTCCCGGGGCCCGAAATCCAGCGAAAACACCAGATTCTGGAGGCGGCAGGGCTTCCCAAAGGCGGCGGGGCTGCTTAGAAGCCCTCCAGCCTTCTGGAAAGCCGTCTCTGTCTTCTCAAAAGGCTTACGGCAAGTTCGCGCCGTGTCGACCCCGGCGGTGGTTCCTGACACCGCGGGGATCGTTCAAACTTGAACGATCGGCGCTTTCAAAAAGGATGAATCGTTCAAGGAAAGTCCGATTCTGGGCCACAGGCGGCGTTCAACCTTAAACGCCAGGTCGACACGACGCGAACCTGCCGTAGAACACTTCTCAGACGGCCGCTGGGCCGTCCGAGCCCGCCCGCTCTGCATTTCCCCTGGGCTCGCCGCCGACGAAGGCCAATCGCACAATTGCAACCTGGATCGATCTGTGACGGCTCCAGGGCCCCAGAATCGACCGACAACGCCCGTTGTGAACGAATAGCAGCGCCCGAACACAGGCGAAAACGTCACGAAGGCCAACTAGCCGTTGTCTTCACTCTGGCCATCGCTCGGACGTCCATTTCCTGTGTTTGTTTCGGTTTCGTGCGTGGTCTTTTCGCCAAATGGTCGAGGATGCTCCTCGCCGAGAAAAAAAATGCACACGTCCGAGCGATGCCAAGCACTGGCCCTCCTCTGAGGCCGCCGGCGGACGGAGGCAGGCGGCGCCTGCGGGGGCAACTCGCGGAAGCCTCCCATGGCATCCCCCTGGCTCTTGCGAGTCGACGCCAATCAACGCTCAGTCGACGCTCCATCGGTGCTCTCTCGTCGACTGCCACACGCCAGCGCACGCCAACGCACGCCGATGTCCTCGAAAAACTCCGTGGCCTGCTGCCGAAGGCGGTTGTGCATGGCGGCCCCGGCGGCGGCGCACGGTCGCTGCGGCGCCAGAAGCTGCGCCGCGCGCGCTCGGGGACCTGCTGACCCGGGTCAATCCAGACCCGGACCCGGGTCAGTCAGGCCTTGCAGAATCCTGCATTGAGCAGGGACCGACCGTCCCGGCATCCCTGTAGTCCTACCACGAAGTGTTCTTCGAACCCCAACAAGTTCCAAGAACAGAAACACTGCTCTTAGAACATAAGCCCGATATGTTAAAACAAGGCAATCTCAACTTAACATGTTCTAAGAACATTTCGTGGAAACCGCAAAAGGCTCTTAGAACAGTGCTCGGTCGGGCTATAGGCACGCCAGGACGCTCCGCCACTGCTTGACTGCAAGATCCTGCAAGACCCTGCGGCCCTGGCCCTGCAGGATCCTGCAAGATCGGGCGCTCTGGCTGAGCCTCGTTTGCGTTGACCCCCGTCTCGAGGCTCCCGACGCGGCGCCAAGATCGGGGATGGACAGACCTCCCTGTAGAAAAACGTGGTTTAGTGAAAACGACCTCGGGCCCAAATCTGGCGGCGCGCACGCCTGGAAAATGACGGCCGCGGCACCCTCTCGAGAACCGAAAACAGACAATTCACTCATCGAAGTGTCAGGGTGGGGGTTCTGTCCACCCCCGACAAACTGGCCATCGCTCGGACGTCCCAAGGCCAGACCGCCCTCCCCGTGTCCGGCGGAGCAGCAAGATGAAACATCTGGGCAGGTTCCACGCGACGGCGGCAAAGGAGGATGGGCGGCGAGGACGGCGACGGCAATCGACGACGGCGACGGCGACGATCTCCAGCTCCGACGGCACAGACAAACTGCAGCATCGTAAGGAAGCATCGATGGTCCTCGCCGAAGGAAACATGCACACGTCCGAGCGATGCCAAGTACATCAAAAATCTCTGAGATCTGGCGGCTGTGGCGCCGCGGCCGTCTCAGAGCGTTCCAGAACGCCCTGGGAGCGTTCCGGAACGCTCTGGAACGGAGTTGTCCCTTCCACCGCGGCCCTCCCAGATGGGTACGACGACGGCGACGACGACCAGCAACAGCGACGACTCACGTTCGGTGTTATGGAAGCCTATCCTCGCCAAAGGAAGAAACGCACACGTCCGAGCGATGCCGAGCAAAAGCTGCGCCGCGCGCGCCTGGCGGCGCACCCGGGGGCCGTGGCCGCGAGGGCGCCCGCGGCGGCGGCGCCCGGCTCCGCGGAGGCCATCGGCGCGCCTCGCCGCGGCGCGGGCCGGGCGAAGGGGGGGGGGCACGGCGCCGTCTTCGCGGATGGATCGGATTGATCGGATGAGAATGGACCCCTGGGCTGGCCATCGCTCGGACGTCCATTCCCTGAGTTTTTGTTTTCGGCTTTTTCGCCAAATGATCAAGGACGCTCCTCGATGGTCCTCGCCGAAGGAAGGATGCACGCGTCCGAGCGATGCCAAGTGGGGGGCATGGATGCGTCCTCTGGCGCTGGGGGACGTAGACCACCACCCGCCGCGCCTCGCGCGGGACACACTCACGCGGGTCAGCCCAAGCCCGGGTCGGCGCCGCGTGGCAGCTCCCAAGACCGGGTCAGCGGAGGGCAGACGAGGGGAATCGGCCCCCCGTGGCTCCCAAGCGCCCTGTCAGCGCCGACCCCCGAGGCCGCGGCGCGGGCCGGGCGAGAGGGGGTGAAGGGGCCCAGGGACACGCAAACAAATACACACACACAAATAACAGGACACCCCATATGTTCTGGGTTTTCCTCTTCCCCCCCACTTCCCATATTCTCCCATATTTTCTGGGAATCCATATTTTCTAAGATTTTCGTCTTCCCCCCCACTGCCCATATTTTCCCATATTTTCTGGGACTCGACGATCGATCGTGTCTGCGTGTTCTTGTTCCCTCCTGAGAGGGGGCACGGCGCCCTCTTCGCGGCCGCCGCGGCCTGCCCCTCGCCCGTCCCGGCCATCGCTCGGACGTCCGTTCCCGGGTGTTTTTTGTTTCGGTTTCGTGCGTGGCTGTTTCGCCAAGTGATCAAGGATGCTCCTCGAATCGAGGAGCATCCTCGACGAAAGAAACGATGCGAGGAGCTCCTCGAGGAGCTCCTCGAAGCGAGGACCATCGACGATGGTCCTCGCCGAAGGAAAAAATGCACACGTCCCAGCGGTGCCAAGCGTCGCAGGCTGTGGCGCGGCACGCCAGTGTGTCGGCGCTGTGGCCGCAGAGAGCTCGAGGGCCGTGCCGTCGCCATCAGCGCCCCGCCCCCCTCGCCCTGCCCCTCGTCCTGCCGCATCGGCCCCTCCTCGCTCCCCTGCCTCTGCTCGTCCTCCTCCCTGCCCTGCCCCCTCTCTCCTCGCCGCCCGCGGGGCGCTCTCAGGGAGGCCCTCGGGAGGGCCCAGAGCATTGAATTCCCAATGGTCATTGGTCCAAGGCTGTGGCGTTCCACGTTTTCTTCGGTCGAGGATCGGTCCACTTGCGGCCTTCGAGGACCCAAGGGGGCAAACTTAGAGCCCCAAGAGGGTTCCTCCTGCCCCCCCCCCCCCAAGCAGACCCCTGAGAGGTCCACACACTCAGGGAATGGTCAAGGACTTCCCAACCTCCTACCAACTCCTCTCCACCCACCAATGCCTCTGTGCCGCACCTGGGCGTGACACCGCTCTTTGTCGCCACCCTTCGCTATGCCATACTCGGGCGGCCCGTGCACCTCACATTCCACTCAACTCCTGTCCTTTATTTTTCGGGCGCCCGGAAATGGCGCAAGCATCTCGAACAACGCCAACTCGCTTATTGCCTGGGACTTGCTCATCACGTACTGCCACGGCGCTTGAATGCCAAACAATCAAAACTACGGAGGGCGTCCCGTTCTCAAATTGTGACGTGCGCCTTAGCAATGCGTACATGTGTCAGCATCTCCAATTACAAGGGTGGGATACAGGTGGCTTTCAACATGTGGTTCTCTCCTGAGCGCTGGGCACATTCGCCTTAAAAGCCTCCAACGGGAAGGTGTACTACAGCATCGCTGATGTACCTTGGGTCTGGTCGGGTCCTCCTCTTCACGCTCCTCCTCCCTCTCTTATCCGTCCTTCGCCTCCTTCTGCTCCTCTTCCCCCTCGTTCGCCTCTGCCCCTCCTCCTTCGCCCCGTCCCCCCCATCCCCATTCCCCCCCTCCTCCTCTCCTCCTCCTTACCCGAGGCCGCCGCGGGAAAGATCGAGAGATCGCCGGCCCGCCAGGAGAGTACACCACTTCCACGCTACAACCCTTCGGCACGCGCCTTCCGCCCTAGGCCAAGGGGCAGGCGAAGGCTCACCTATGAGTTTGACCTTGCAAACAAGACGGCCAGCATGAGGCGACGCGAAAGGACAAGACACATCTATGCCGAGAAATGGCAGATCGCACAACTTGATATATGGAGGGATATGTTGATGCTGCGACTGCCAGAACTGGATCAACTGGAACCACCAGGACTGGAGCACCAGAAACTTCTGTTTGGGCAATTGAGCTTGTCGCGTCATAATGCCCCCACACACAAAAGGCATTCATTCTACTACGTTGGGAACTAATTGACCTTACAGCCATGCAGCAATCCAGGCTGCACTTGACAATCGAATGGGGTCGGGAGTATTACTACAAACGCGTTCCCATTCGAACGGAGGGGTTTGGATGATTCGTAAGTCAATCGTTCCCTCAACAGGGAGCGCGGATAACGACACGCGACATAAGGCACGCATGGGAAGTCGCCAAGGAAGAAGCACACAACGGCAGCACTCGTCTCGCCCCCGTCCTCGCCCCTCCCCTCTCGTGGTTCACGCCGGCCGCGTCCCCGTCTCTTTGTCTGCCTGCTCCGCTTCGTTCCTCCTCCCCTCCCCTCCCGTTGCTCCTCTCTTGCTCCTCGCTTCTGCGCGCCTCGCCCCACCTCGGGGCAATGGAGTTCTCCACCCCGAGAAAGGGAGGCTGAGAGTTCCATGGGAGCCTGAATGTCCTGGGCGTCTGGCGCCTACGGGAATGCACTTCGGCTGCCATTCCCTGATCGGGGGAGGCCTAGAGGGGGGCGTGCAAGAGGAGGGGACGCAAATCATGGCCCGCGGCATGTGCGCGGCCCAGAGGGGGAGCCAGGGACGTAAGGAAATAAGAAGAGGCGCCATTCAGCAGAGCGCCAAGCACTTCGTTCTCGACTTCGGATGGCAGAAAGGTAAGTTCACTAACGAATCCGGCGGTTGCAGTACATTTCTTCGCGAGAGGGCTTTTCGCAGATCCCACATTCAATCTGAGGGAATATCATGGCCCCCGCCATGAGACCCCCCCCCCTTGTCCTTGCCCCCCCTCTGGGCCGCCCCCGAGGGGGTGGTGAGAGAGGAAGCCAGGGGGGGGGCTGGGGGAGAGAGGGCGCGCGCCCAGCTCATGATGCGACTTTGACGGAGCTTGGTGGCCCTTGCCCTGGGAGAAAGGAGACCGGGGCCAAGCGCGCCCCCCAGCTCGCGCCTCCCCTGCGCCGCGTAGTTCTGGGGGCACGTCTGCTCCCTGCCCAGGGGGGGGCCCTCACTGTAGCTCGCTCGCGGGCGCCCCAGGCCACACATTCTCCACATTCTCCGCAGGGGCCTCGCGAATTGAAGCTCTGACCTGAACCAGCCGCTTATGCGCATTTACCTTACCTCACCCACTTCCCCGTCCCCTTACCTTACCTTTCCTTTCCTTTCCGTTCCTACTTTCACTTGCCTTACCTTTCCCCTCCTCTTTCTCCTCCTCCGCGTCCTCCCCTTCCTCCCCCCCGTGCTCCTCCATCCCCCGTCTCTTGCGCAGTCTGTGGCAAATACGCTGGGTCAACTGTGCAAGGAATCAACGGTGCTTCCGGCCGAGAGATCAAGCGTGCTTGGGCCAAGACTCAATCGAGCGGGTTCTGCCGTAGCAGGTCCCCGACAATTATGCCTCGGCCCCGTCCTGATATCACAACCCTTTTACACGGGATAACGCAAGATTAGATGGCCAGCGCATGCGCCTAACAGTGCAGGCGGCCCTGCCCTTACAGCAGTCTGAAAGGCGTGGGTGCAGCTGACCTACTGCGCCCTCCAACCACGTGACTGTCCCCTTCCTCCTCCTCTTCCTCCCCCTCTTCCTCCCCAGCCTCCCCATTGTCAGCCTCTTTTTTGTCGTCCTCCTCCTGCTCCTCCCCTTTTCCTCCTCCTCCCGCCCACCCTCATTCGGCCACTTCGGGCCACACACATTCGCAGCCAGCAGACGTCGCCGCCGTTGCGGGGCGGGCGGGGGCTGTTTAAACAAAAACACCGTGCAAAGCAGACGTATAGCGGACACGGCGACATGCAACAGGAGGATTACGAAGGGGCCGAACAAATGACGACTCAGAGAGCACAGTGCGTCGCGCACACCTAGACATCCGACCATGTGATGTGTTCAAATCCGCTCGCCCAGAAATGCCGACCCTTGTCCCCGAAGGTATGTTCTCGCTACGTTTGGGAACCCGGTAAACGGCCCCCGACAGACAACACAAACATTGAAACCTAGTCTTTCGCACGTCCGAAGAGAAAGAACCCTTGCCGTGTCCGATCCAGGCCCCCCTGGAACCCCACCTCGGAAGCGCAGCCAGTGGAATGCCCCCCGACATTGGGAAACCCCGGGAAGCCGAGCCAGAAATCCGATAATCCGCCGATCCGGCGTGTGAGTTTCTGAGAGCGTGGGCTTGAGCTCGCTCAAGCCTCGCTCTGCGGGGGGGGGGACCTCATTTCCGACCTAATTCCGACCTGATTCAGTGCTCTGCGGGGGAGGGGGGGGGACCTCATTTCCGACCTAATTCAATGCTTCGCCCCCCCCCCCCCCTCAGAGCGGAACCCCATCCCCTGCAGAACGCCCCCTCCCCCTTCCTGCAACCCAGCCCCCCCCTCCCCCCTGCAGAGCGGACCCCGCCCCTGCAGCCCCCCCCCTCCCACTGCACAGCGACCCCCCCCCTTGCACCACCTCCCCCCTGCAGAGCAAACTCTGCCCCTGCAGAGCGGACCTCCTCCTTGCAGCCCCCCCCTCCCCTGCAGAGTGGACCCCCCCCGCCTCCCCTGCACCCCCCCAAGAACCGAGAGGGGGGGGGGAGCTCGAGCGAGGACGAGGGGGGGGGGGGTCGAATCGAGGGGGGGGGGGAGCTCGAGCGGGGGTCGAGCTCAAGCGGGGGGGGGTCAGGGGGGGGGGGGGGTTCCGAGCTCAAGCGCATCGAATCGAGGGGGGGGGAGCTCGAGCGAGGACGGGGGGGGGGTCGAGCTCAAGCGGGGGGGGGGGGTCCAAGGAGGAAGCTCGAGCGGGGACGGAGGGGGGGGGGTCGAGAGCGGGGGGGGGGGGTTCAGGGGGGGACTGGGTCCAAGAATCGAGGGAGGGGGAGCTCGAGCGAGGACGGGGGGGGGGTCGAACTCAAGCGGGGGGAAGGGGGTCCAAGGAGGAAGCTCGAGCGGGGACGGAGGGGGGGTCGAGCTCAAAGAGGGACGTCGTCGTCATCATCGTCCGTCGTTGACCCGGTCGTCGGTCGTCGTCGTCGTCATCGTCCGTTCCCACACGCAGCAGGAGCGCCCCGGATCGGCGGCACTGGCCGGAGGCCATTCCAATATCGACCCGGCCATTTTTTGTAAGAAAAAAATCGCGCAAATATTTTGGAGAGGGGGTAGGAAGGCAGGGGAGAGGCCGCGAATCAACGATGATCAGTTCCCCACCATCGAATCGACCCGACCATGTGTGCGCCGATTCGGGCCTCCTACGCGGCCGGGCGCATGGCGGCGCGGGCGACGGGGGCCTGCGCCCAGCCCTTCCCTGCGACCTGGAGCGAGCGTGTGAGCGTGGCGTTACGGCGAGGAGGGCAGAAGGTCGCGGGACGGGAAGGCATCATGATGCGATCGGCTCATTGTGTTCCCCCCAGGACGTCTGGAACATCCACTGGTTTTCGTTTCTCGAACCATTGCAGAACCATGGGAGGTATCATGTGTGTTGTGAGCGCTGTGACTGCTGGGGCGCATCACTTACCACGACGTATTGCTCATTGGGGACAAGGCCCATCGTTCCCGCAGGACGGTGGGGTAATGCCATACTGTGATGAATTAAAACAAGCCTGTCGCCTGAAGAGAAAAAAGTGTCCCTGTTCGAGCGGATCGGAGGGGGGGGGGCGCGCCCGCCAGATGGAACACACACCACGGCGGCGCCCGTGATGCCAACGCCCGGCCGCCAGCGAGAAGGCGACGGGCGCAGCAGCGCCTGTGCTGCAGCGGCGGGATCGGGCCAAAGTTGCCACGTACTGCGGGAGAAGGAATCGGGAGCGGCCAAGAGGGGGGTGCCCAAGAGGGGGGGGGGCAAATCATGACCGGCGACACGTGCGCGGCCCAGCGGGGGGGCCAGGGACGTAATGAAATAAGGAGAGGCGCCATGAAATCTGGGGAAATATCATGGCCCACGCCTTGATATCCCCCCCCCTGATCATCACCCCCCTCTTTTCCGCCCCGAAGGAGGCGGGAGGCGGGGGCGGCAAAAGCAGCGGCCGTCGCCGCTGCTACCGTGGCCCTCCGCGCCGCCGCATGGTTCCTCTGTCTCGCAGATCGGGCGGAGCTCCCGACGCCGCGACGGTGCCGGGCCATGAACGAAAGCGGCCCTGGACCCTCGAGTTCCCGCCAGGACCAGTTTCACCTCATCCTCCTCCTCCTCCTCCTCCTCATCCTCCTCCTCGTCTTCCTCCTCCTGCTCCTCCTCCTCTTCCTCCTCCTCCTCCGCCGTGCCCTCCTGGAAATGAGCACTGGATCTAACTCTTTTGCAAGAACACTCCTCGGAAAGAAATCAACCTGGCCTCTACCACACGCCTTGCGCCAGAAGAAAAGCCGCGACGGCGACCACTAGGGAAACTCGAGCCTCGACGAAGCAGGAGAGACAAAGGCCTCAACGAAACCTCGAGCCTCGAGCACAAACCCAATGCACCAGGCAGCGCGCGCAGCAAGTCCCGCGCATCAGCGAGGTCGCTTGCCCTTGGGTCAACGCATAGATCCACGTGCGCAACACTCACGCATGCATTGCGCTGCCCTGCGCGGGGGTGCTGCCCTTCGGAAGCGGCGCGTCGTTCATGCCGTTTAGCCCTGGCGCGCGTGATCTAAAAAATAGTCTCGCGCCCCGCGGGGTCTATTCATCAGCCTCGGCGGCGGGGGGGCAGTCATTTGTTAGTCGCGAGCTGACAGTAGCTCGCCAGGCTTCCGGCTCTCTGCGACGGGGCAATCGTACTCGGACTCAGCGACGGCGAGGGCGGTGGCAAATTTCGCGACGGGATCGGCGACGGTGGAAACGGCGACTGCCATATTGACCACGACATCTTTTCTGTGAAGGACCCCTGGGACACTCAAATAAATAGACACTGGTAACAGGATTCCCCATATTTCCTTATATTTTCTGGGTGTTTGTCTTCCCCCCCACTTCCCATATTTTCGCGTATGTTCTGGGGAATCGATGATTAATTGTGTCTGTGTGTTTTTTCCCCCTCCTGATTCTGACCAGGGGCGGGGCCAGCTTCGCTCAACAATTTGACGAGCCATCCACGCGCAGTCTCGGTGGTGTGACGGCGGGGCACCGCGCCGACAGCTCCGCACGCCCAGGTTAAACTGGGATAAAACATGATGCGGCCCGCATCAGGTGCGCGCTGATGCCGACAACAAGACAACCTCAACACACAGTCAACCCGTATAGTAAGGATATGCGAGAAGGATGCAAGGGCCTTGGACGCCCATTTCGAGGCGTTTCGAGCGGGGCGCGGCCCACGAAAGAGGCCAAGGCTGCACCGAGGAGACAAGGATGCAAGGCTACCCTTGGGAAGGTGTCTCAACCTTCCTACGCGGGTTGACTGTACGCATCAGGCGCGCGCTGAAGCCGACAACAAAACAACCTTAACATACACTTTCGGAGGTCTGCACGGAATTCGTGGATCGATACTGGGCACCCATCACGGCGCCACAGGGACCGCCAGGGGGGCCCAGCAGAGCTCCGACAGCTTGCTCTTATGCAGCTGTTCCTTGATCCTCGATGCAAGCAAGCACCACGTCCCAGAGGTGCGACCAGGTCCAACCCTCCTCCTCTTCATCCTCCTCCTCCTCCTCCTCCTTCTCCATCCGCCTCCTCCTTGAGACATCGCAGCGCTCGAGCCTCGGGACTGGACGCGGATCGCGACCTGGAGCTGCAAAGAACGGCCCCGCGGCCCACGGCCCACCCCATGTCCCCCCACCCCCCCTTGCCGTCGCTCGGACGTCCATTTCCCGTGCATTTCTCGGTTTCGTGCGT